CCTGGGTGATTTAATATTTTGCAAAAAAACTCTGCATGAGATGTGATGCACAAGCAGGTGCATTGTCATGATGAACCTGCCAATCACCAGGTGTCCACAGGTGGGGCCTTCTGAATCACCCCAATAATTTCTGCAGAGGAATGTTCAAGCTTAATGCAAAATTGGATGCAGATTCGTTGCTCTACTCACTCATTTTGAATGCGACAGCCACACAGTACACATGCTCACTCAATTGTGTCTACCACCCCCACTGAGTAGTACAGTGAAGTCGTCATTGTTCACACATGTGCACCCCAGTCCACTCTCCTTGGCTGCCAGGTCACTGTTCTCATTGTGTTAACAACGGCGGGACTTTGTGCAGACATATTTTGTGTGTACGTTTGCATGCCGTATAGATGGATGGATAGGTGGACAGAGAGATAAAGGAAGGAAATCAGGAAGTGGATAGGCCGTTTTGGATTGCTAGCATGGAGGAAGGCTTCACAAATGACCTGGGGTTTACTCTCTCAGCCCACATGTGGAAATACATCATCTTTATTACAGCTTCAATCTTTTCGGATCGGAGATGCCTCCCAAATTGGGCCTCACAGCTTTCTTCTTCAACACGTGCGGGTGAAGAAGGCATTGCTATGAGAAGCAACACAGCGAATTAAAAGAGGAAGTGAAAATCGTTCTCAGATGAACAGAATGCCACTTCCTGCCCAGGTTCCCTTTAGACTGTGTGTCCTTGTATGAGGAAGTGTTTCATTAGAAAGGACTTTTTACCAAAAGGGAAAATTAAGCCGTGTTCACCTTTTCTGTACAGACCTGCAGTGTGTGTTAGAAACAGCACAAACAGCAACTGCATTTTGATTTGGGGCTAAGGAGCAGATGTGGTTTACTGCTCGTACTGCAGACTGTCTGAAAATGCAACACGACTCGGGCAGCTGCTTGTCTTGCCCAACATCCCAACTTCTCTTCGCTCACCGCGGGAGCGCCTCGCCCACACCTGCAGGTGCCCGCCGAGCGCCGGCAGGTGCGCGCGTCTCCAGCGGCTCCCGGGCTCCCCGCCGCTGCTCCCAGGCGGAGGGACCGCACCGCGGCTTCCTTCGGGCGCAGCTCTTCCTCCCTCCTTTTCCCGAGTCTTCTCGCAACAACCACGCGCTTCTCCAGCCCTCTTCCAAATTTCTGCTCTAGGATTTAATGAGCTGATCTAGCACATTAAAAAGTAGCCGTTGCTTTGCTTTTGCTTTTTCATCGTTTGGTTTGGGGAGATGCCCCCTTGCACGCACGGCCAGGGTTTCCCTCGCCCGGGCAGGTACCTCGGGACAGTCTCCCGGATCTCGTCCGGGAGCAAAGGCTGGAGGAGCTCCTGCCGCCCCCCTGCCGCCAGAGAGGGTGTTCGTGCGCCTCAGCCTGGCGCGGTTTGCGTCTTCCCACCTGACCCTTTAAAACGCCCAGGCTATTTATTAGGTGTCAGCTGGTTAACCGCGCGGCTCCTCCCCGACCCTGAGGGTCGCCCTCACATCAGACTAGAGCCCAGGGCAGCAACCAGTGGGTGTTGGCGGGGGGGGCTCACGTACCAGCTGCACTCCGGGTTCAAGGTCACTCTGCCTCCCAAGACCACACTCTGAGGTCGTGGGGGTGGTGGGGGGGTCGGCTTTGCTGCGGTGAAGCCCAAACTCCTCCCCCCCGCCGCAGGGGCCCTGCGCCGTCGGACCGGGCTCTCGGGGACTCCCTGCCCCCTGCTGTGCTCCGTCTGCGCCTAGGGGCTGTTTATCTGCTTTAGGCTCCGGACGCGCCCCGGACTCCGGGCCCCACGCGTGCTGCCCTCTGTTTGGAACATCGGCCCCTCAGCCCCCGCACCTGGCCCGCTCCTGGCCGTCTGCCACCGGTGTGGAGGTCGCGGTGTGGACGTCCCTTCCCCCACCCCAACCGCGGCCCGTTCCCCGTTGTACCAGGTGCTTCTCTGCAGCCGAGATCGCGGCTCGCTGAGGTTTTAACCTGCGCACGCGTCCTGCGCGGGGAGACCGGGCCGGCGCCCTCCGTCCGCCCTCCCTCTGCCCGCCCCAGCGACGGCTTGGTCGCAGGCCCCTCGCACGCCCGAGTCTCGGGGCTGAAATCACCTGACCCCACCGGGTCATTCAAGTCACGAGTCACAAGTTCCACGACCTCGGTGCCGTGCGCTTTCCCGTCTGTCCCACTGCGAGCACGCGCCGAACCGCGCGTTTGTCCCGCGCTGACCGCGGTCCTCCGGCCTGCCGGGGCGCCCCCCACCCTCCACGCGGACACAGTCTCAACCCCCTGGTCTGGGCGCTTTTCATGACGGTCTAACAAACTCGGGGTTTTAGGTCCAGCTCAGAGCGGTTATCCTAAGAAAGTTTAAAAACAAAGTCAAACACCGACGCTGGAGGAAGTGGCGGCACTCCTGCAGAGCTGCTGGCCTGCAGCTAGGCGGCGAGTCCGCCCCCGGAGCCCAGCAGGTCCGGCCCCTTCGGGCTGCCGCCCCCGCATTGCCATTCGGAGCTCGTCCCTCAGACCTCGGAGGACTAACGGGGAGGACGCGCTTTCCAAACGCGACACCAGCTTCCCCTGAGGGTCCCCCAGACCTGGACCCATGGCCATTGGTTTGGCGATGCTGACCTCGGGTGTCTGAAGGGCGTTGCGTGGAGACGCCCCACAGGCGGTGAGCCACGCAGCTCAGAGGCTGCAGGGAGCTCACACGGCAGTGTGCCCCCACTGAGAGAAAGCGGCGGGGGGGGGGGGGGGGGGCGTGGACCGACCATCCCCGGTCTGCACGAGGTCTCGGAGGTGAGCCAGAGCACAGTGCCGCGGAGGGATCGTGTGGGCGAGCGCCGCAGTGGTGCGGACTTGTCACCCGTGGAGTGTGGGAACCCACCGGCTACCGAGGCTAAGACGGGCAAGTGGGTGAAGGTGGGGAAACAGGTGTCCTCTCCCTCCTGTCTCCTCCAGCCCCTGCACGGAGCCCCACGTCCGGCCTCCCGCCTGGCCGCAGGGCCTGGCCCTCTCCCACGCCCTACCTGAGCTGCGTCACCTGGCCCCCGTGACCGGGACCACGGGGACCGGGCTGGGTGTTACAAAAATGGCAAAGACGATGTATGGCACTAAGTTGGTGTAAAAATCTGCCTTGATATGTCCTTGCATATCGGCGATGTTCAAAATAATGCACGTAACTCTTCCCACTGTACTACCTTCCAGAAGATGTCAGCACTTTCACCAAAAGTGTCTCCAAGGAAAAACCCTCATCGATGGGATCAGCAAACATAGCTGAGCGCACCCACAGGCAGCGTGCGGCCGCCAGGCGGGGCCTGAAGCAGAACCGTGCCGCCCTCGCGGGCTCCCGCGGCCGGAGGGAACAGGCTGGCAGTCGCCGCACCCGTCGGCCCTGGTGACGGGAGGCAGGAGAAAGCTCCGAGAGCAGCAGGGGCTGGTCAGCCCCAGTCGGTGACTTTGGAGGGGAGGGCTGCACGGCAGGAGTCCCCACAGTACGCGTCTGGGGCCGGCGGGCGGGCTGGGGGGTGAGGGGCGCCGCGCGACGACCAGGACCAGCGCAGGGCCTAGGGGCGGACGGTCACCTGCACCGATCACCTGCACCGATCACCTGCACTCCCCCGGGCCTGGAGGCGCAGGCCCCTGTGCTCTCTTCACGGCCCCTTTCCTTTCCTCACTGGCGGGGGCGGGGGCGGGGGCGGGGCGAGCAGGAGGGAGAATGGAAACTGCCACTCAGTTTCTTTTTCCTGGGCCCGCTCCCTGCTCGCCCTTCCTCTCTCCCGTCTCTACTCCCTCCGCTCTCCTTCTCTGCCTCCACCCCTGCGGCCTCGCCCCCTCCCGCTGTGTGTCACCCCCCCCCCACACCTCCGAATTTCCATCTCTGATCTGCATTCTCTATTCAGCGATTCTCTGCTTCCTTACAGTCTCATCTCCTTGAGAGATGAAGGTGGTGAAGTCTGTCTACATCTGTCGAAAGCAGCAGTTTGTGTTTGTGTTGTGTTATGAGCAGAAGTAACCACATGCACCGAAATTAAGAGGAAGGATGTTGGGGGTGGGGGAGGAGAGGAAGGCACTCACAGACGTGCCCGCTGGCCCCTCCACCCCATTCCTCAGACCGGCCAACGTCCAGCTACGACGCCCACTGGGCGTCTTGGCCCTGCTTTCAGCCCGTGACCACATATTTCGCTTCCATCTGCCTTACACTTCAGCACGCAGGCAATAATAATGTCTCCAAAATGTGACTCGTCACCACGGGGTGTTGGGTGGCTCTCACTTAAACCACTGAAAACCTTGGGCCAGTTAACAACCTCCTGGTTACTGATCAGACCACACGCTTCCAGCTGCTTCTCCAGTGCCCACCCCTCTGGTCACCTCTGTGGGGACACCCAGCCTGCCCTTCTGCTGTCCTGCAGTGACCCCTGCTCACTCCAGCCCATTCCTGGGACCCGACCAGGGCAGGCGCTGTCTGGCCACCTCAGTACCTGTGACTGGGTGCTAGGCAGGCATGGGTCTTGATTACTGTAGCAAAAGGTGTCTTATCTGAGACTTTAAAGTGACCCTCTGTCCAGGAAGAGGAGCTGCATCTCACCTGCATGCATTTCCACCTTGCCCTTCCCAGCCCTTTCTCAACCCGGTGTCTCTTTAAAACCGTGGGTGTTAGCACGGTGCTTCTCTGCTGGAACGCCTCCCTGGGCCCAGCTGCGCCCGCCGCGGAGTCTCAGCCACACTCCAAGCCGGACATGCAGCTGCTCTCCCACGGGCCCCTCCTCCACCACCACCAGGGGCCACCACAGCCCCTCCCGAGGCTCCGGCCACACCAGCTTCTCTAGGTCCCCGAGCACCACCTGTTCCTCCGCACCTCAGCCTCCGCCCACGCTGCCCCCGCCCCCGCCCACCGGCACACCGACGCTGTGGCCTCGGCTCGGTGTGTCCCCCTTCGACCACCCTCCCTGCCTAACGCCACTGCTCTCAAAAACACGAAACTGGCTTTTCCTTTAAAGCACCCCCTACACATTTTAATTTAATTTTATTTATTTTGGGTCCACCTGGGGAAATTGGAATCACATCGGTCTGTTTCAACAGGCAGAGCTGAATACAGAAAGTCAGCCACAAAGGTGGGGCAGGCTGAGAAGATGACAGTGGGGACCGTGGTGCCACAGGGACAGAAACGGAGGGACGCAGCTGCGGGCTGAGGGCTGGGACCCAGAGCTCGGAGGGGCTTGTGCCCTGGAGGCCTGGCCCCAGGCACCAGGACAGGGCGCCGCCTGGCTGGGCTGGCCCTCTGGCCGGGGCGAGGAGCTGGCTGTAGGGGGCTGGAAGGAACCAGACACTGCAAACGGTGGTGACGCTGGTCAGGCCCCATGGCAGCAGCACCTGCCTGGGACGGCAGACAGGGGAGCACGTCCCCACCGGCGTCCCTCAGGCCCCCGATCGACAGGGCCCCACATGGGCCCGCCTGTCCAGGGAGGGTGTGCAGGGTCCCAGTGCGGGCGCTTGCTGGGTGGGGGAGGGGTTGGAGGTGAGACACAAGAGCTTAGTAACTGCCCGCATGTGTTCTTTGTTCGCTGCCTTTTCCTCCCCGTGCGCAGCTGGGGAGCGGTGGACAGACACACTCACCTCACCTTCCTTGGGTGCATACACTTATTAGACTTTTTCAAAGCTACTTAGCCGAGTGTGCCATTCACTTCCCGTCAGCCGAACGGCAACGATGCCTCGACGCCGGCCCAGGCTCTGGGGCTCCCGCGCGAGTGCGAGGCAGTCCCTTACTATTCAGCGGGGAATTTCAGGCATTCCCACAAGACGTATTTAAATAGTGAAAGGCCACAGCAAACACCCCTGTGTTTAAGTGCTCGTGGGGTGGAACAGGCAGCAGACTCTGCAGGAGACGGGAAAGGACCGAGGGCCTCGGCCTAGCCTGCGTCCCGCCCCTGCGGCAGGGGCGGTTTCGAGGTGACCCGGATGAGGGCAGGGACGTGGAACCAGTCAGTGGGAACAGACGTCGAAACCAACGGGAAGACCGTGAGTTCTGCAGGTAGAATCAAGAGTGTCATGCCGTTTGCACAAGAGGGTTTTAGGCGAAGGACTGCAGTGGCCGCAAGAGTGTTCCCCGAAGACACGCCGGCAGCCTCCTGGGGGACTGCTGAGCACTGCAGGCCGGAGCCGCAGAGACGAGTCAGGGCCAGGCGACCCCCGAGGCAGGAGACTCGGAGGGGAGTGCCAGAGGCAGGCAGCTGGAGGGGCAGAGTCCACGCAACACAACACAGCGCTCGCACGGGGCAAGGAGCGTGGGGCGGGAGGGGACCTCCTCCTCCTGGAGAGTCGGACGGGAGCCACCGAGCTCCACCCCGAGGGCCTGAGGACGCCCCGGTGCAAGGAAAGTCCCCGCGAGCACCCTCCGAGGCAGGAACCGGGGTGGGAAAGCCGAATCAGTCGGGGAGAATGTATATGTCCTCATCCTGAGGGGTGTCGGGAGACACAGGCCCCTGGAAGTTGTAGTAGGGGGATGCCTGGTTCCCGTAGACGGGCTCCGCGGAGCTGGCCTGCTGCGTGTTCTCGTACAGCCCCTTGCCGGCTTCCTCTGCTCTGGGGGGGCCCACTTCCAAGTTCTCGTAGTCGTCATCGCAGGGGCCGGCCGCCCGGGCGGCAGGTCTGCGGCCCGGGGCGGCCCCCGGGGCCTTGCACTTGGGGCCGAAGGCGTGGTCGCGCAGGGACAGGGTTTTGGAAAAGTCCCTCCTCCTGCTGCCGCTCCTCCACAGGAACCCCGGGAGGGCGAGCGGGCTGGTGGCCCGGCGCTTCCAGAACCAGAAGCCCCCGAGCCCGCAGACGGCCAGCAGGAGCAGCAGGAGCGTAACCCCCACGGAAACGGGCACAGAGCTACTCCCGCAGCTCTTCAGCACGTCTGCACACGCCGTGGAGTTCGCCGGGCCGCCGCCGCTCGCGAGGAGCTCACAGGTGCAGTTGGACGTCATGGCTCACTGGCTGTGGTCCCGAGAGAGCTCTGGGAGCCCCCCTGGGCATCGCCTGCTCAGCTCTGAAAGACCACCCTGTGGCCAAGTCCTGCGGCGCTCGGAGGAGGGGTGCGGAGGAGGAGGTCTGGGGGGACGATCCCCATGGTAGCCGTTCGCTTCTTTATAAACAGGGGCGGTTTAAATCCACTCTGCTCTTTTTGCTGAATTACAAACAAAGTAGATATGAATGGAGGATAATCGCAGAATAGAAAACTCCAGAAAAGGAAGACTGAATAATCTGCCGTCAGGAAACCTGCTATAAATTACAAATGTATTAATTGCATATTTACTGCATTAGCATAATAAAACTCTGCTCTGTTCCTACCAGCACAGCGCGCACCAGCCCCTGGCCTGCTTCGGGACACGGCACGTGCTGGTTCCCGTGAGGACAGAGGTCTGACCGAGCCTGTCCCTGCCCAAGCCCCAGTGGTTCCAGCACTTCAGAAACGTTCGAGTGAAGGGCAATGCTTGGAACACAGTAGGAGGGAAGCACAAGGGTGTTCTTGTGCAAGCGTTGCCATGACTACCCTGCTCTGTGTGGTCTGCGGAGGGCGGGGGCACACGTCTCCTCCCAGTCCGGCCTCCCCCGGTGCCCACATCAGCGAGACTGTCTGCACCACAGCCTGGCACGCGAGTCACCGGAAACTGTCTTCCCACCTGGTGAAGTGGTGGGCAGAGACCTGGTCTGCTCATCTCTATGTTCCCAGGGAATAGCAAACCCCCTGGTGCAGAAAAGCCATTGGCATTTATTGGATGAATAGTTAAATAAACAAATGACTCCAAATCTTATCGCAGAATTGCTTAAGTTGATAATTTAAAACCCAAGCTATGTCTTCAAAGGGTACAGTTTATACTTAAAAGAAGAAAGAGTTTTGTGACATAAAACAAAATATCTTTGAAGCCTCCTTGTCAAAACTGCCAGCCAACACCTTTCATTCAATTATGATAATTTTAGAGTGTTCTCCAATGTTTTAAAATGGCAGAGAGAGAAGCAGAAAGCATTCAACTAGACTGAATGTTCTATTTTGATTTTATCAACAAAATATTGCTCCCTGTTTTCCGGCTACATACAGAAACAGTTACATCCAATAGTTGTTTTTCTTAGTTTTAGTGATATAATTGACAGGTAACATTGTGTAAGTTTAATGTGCAATGTGATTTGATATATGCATATATTCTGCAATGACTGCTACATTAAGTTTAGCTAACGTGCATCACCTTACAGAGCTACCATTTTTTTTCCTGTGATGAGAAATCTTAAGACCTACTCCTAGCAACTTTCAAATGTGCAATATTGTCAACAGCCTTGTGAACTGCACTTGTGAAAGGGTTTTCACCTATTGAGTGCCAGCATCGACCATGTCTAGTTAGGAGCTTACTTGGGGTCACCTTCAAAACACCTTTCCACCGAGGATCTCAGCTACCACAGGGAGCAGACGCCTCCGTACCCCAACCTTAGAGATGAGACAAGATAAGGCCAAAGAGGTTCAGGAACCTCTGGAACAACTACGAAGACATCAAGTCAAGATTCAACTAAAACTGACCCCCAGATGTTGTTATTCTCACCCCGATTTCTGTCCGGGGCTGCCGAGCACACCTGTCACTGAATCTGTGCGGCTCGTTTAGCTGTGAGGCGCTGGAGGGCCGGGGTCTCATCTACACCATCTTTACGTTGCCAGCACCAGCACTGGACACAGAATAGCTGCTTTCTTGCCTGTTTGTTAGCGAGCGAGCAGCCTGCCTTGCGGCGTCAGTGACAACGGTAAACAGGGAAGAGAGAATGCCCACAGCCCTGGCTGGCACGGCTCAGTGGATTGAGCGCGGGCTGCGAACCAAAGTGTCGCAGGTTCGATTCCCAGTCAGGGCACATGCCTGGGTTGCAGGCCACAGCCCCCAGCAACCGCACATTGATGTTTCTCTCTCACTCTCTTTCTCCCTCCCTTCCCTCTCTAAAAATAAATAAATAAATAAAATCTTTTTTAAAAAAAAGAACGCCCCCAAAGTCGGGGCCCACTCTGAGAGAGCATTCCTGTCTGAGAGCTACGTGTCCAAGTCCGTTCGTGGTTGGAGTACGTCAACATGCAAACTGTCAAGCCGGCATTGCAGGTGAGATGCCAAACTGAACAGGAGATGCAGTCAATGCATAAAGTTTATCTGGTAAAACTATAGGGACAGAGACCTCAGACCGAGACCTGTTTTCCTCTCTCTGCACAGCCAGACCCGGGGCCTGTGCTCAAGGACAGCGGTTTGGCAACGGCTCTGACCATTACAGACGAGTTTCCTTTCTGAAACCAGAGAGCTGGTCGCAGTTAACATATTTTATGGTGATTTTTAGTTCAAATTTGCCAGCGCATTTGAACTCAATTTCAAATTGGTTGAAATTTAGCAGCTTTGGCAAAGGTGCCAGGCCCGCAGCCAACTCGGGCGGGGGACAGCCGTTGTCCCTGCGGATGAGGTAATGAGGTGCTCTCCCTGCCCCTAGGATGTCTTACCACCTATCTTGCTCTACGCAGAACAGACATGCCAGTACATGCCAAGCATTAAAACTGTTGGTCAAAGAACTGTTCACTTAAAGAGAAGACGACTTTTTACAAGAAAATAAATGCACCCTATCATTTCTTCAGACTCACTTAACTGGAACACCCTGCCACACATTAACAAAGACCTGGCAGAATAAAAAGCAGGTGTTAAACAAAAGCCTTTCACATGTAGTTTAACACCCAAATAAGCTCCACTTTCCCCGCTTTGGAACAAGGCCGTTCGGTTTTGTTTTGGAAAATGGTCCCAGCAGGTTACCTAACAGTCATTCACCTTAAAGTTACAAATGGTTGATACGCTTCTGGAATCTTCCAAGCCAGACCCTGCCCTTCTGCTCCAGAACCAGACCCAAAGCCCCGTCTCACCCTGTGAGCAAACGCACCCTGAACAAACACCCCCTGAACAAACACCGTCTCCCTCCTTTTGGAAATTGCTCCCCCCCTCCCCGCCACCTCCTAAGGCTCCCAAAACTCTGTTTGATAAGATAAAAAAAGTCACTGATTATTAAAAATGAACCTGTTTCCTAAGTCTCCTTCCGCCACGCACAGGTCCGGTCCGCGCTCACCTGGGGCATGCGTGGGGCGCGGGGTGCTCGCCGGCCCCGCACATTTCAAACTGGCTTCCGTTTGGAGCGGGTTCCTCTTTCCACTTCTGTCGATTTCTTCCTTCTCACGCCCTCCTCTCACACTATTTCACACTTGCAAAACTTCCTGGCTCTAGAGGAAGTTATCAGCGGCAGCAGAAGTGAGATAAGTGACCGAGGGTTTGAACAAGACAGCCCAGCCCTGCGCCTTCCCCGAGAACTGACTCCCACTCCGCCAGAAACCGGCGCGGGCAGCCCGGACAGCCTTCCCGCCTGAGCGCCACGTGCGGTCCCCACTCGGAGCCAGCCTAAGACGCCGTCTCCCTGGCTCCCCAGCTCCTTGGAAGGAAGGTTCCTGACCGCAGTCCCGCGCGGGCCCGTCCGAAGGCTGGAACAGCTCCCGTTGCAAACGCCGCGGCCGATGCCGGGGTCACCCGCCTGGTCAAGCCAGTGGCCCAGTTGGGGGTCAGAAAATGTCCGCGTTCTCTGAAATTGTTGCTAAGGCTCCCCCAAGCACACTGTTGGTGGCACCGTCTGGGACTTCCTAGTGGGTCTGTCCTCGGGTGAACCTGGGAAACGCCACAGCGGCGGAGGCCGGCGGCCGCTCGGCACTCCGCAGGGCTCGCGGGTCCCCGGCCCCCGGTCCCCGGCCCCCGGCCCCCGGCCCCGGCCCCGGCCCCCGGGCAGAGGACGAGGCAGAGCCGGACCAGAAAGCAACCCCCCTGCGGCCTGCTCGCTAACAGCGGCCGGCGCACGCGGAGCGCTCGCGAGTCCTCGGGGCCGGCCGCGGATGGTCACTCGGTAAACCCCGGCCACCCCGAGGGACAGGCCCGCCCGCCGGCTGACTCCGCCGTCAGGCCAGGAGCCCGGACCGCGGCGAGCCCGCCCCTCCGGCACCGGCACCGGGCGGCGGGGCGGCGGGGCGGCCGAGCCGCAGCATTTCGCGAGGGTGGAGGACTCGTCTCCACCCGACACCCTCCCTCACCAGCTCCTCTCGGAGGCAGCTCGGTGGGCCGCAGCCGCGCGGAGTGGCGAAGCAGGCAGCCCGGAGGAGAACCTCGGGGGCATCGCGTCGTTCGTAGGCGTCGGTGCTTCTGCAGCGACGGGGCGCGGGCGGGGAGGGCGAGCAGCGGGCTCAGGGCAGTGTGGTCCCTACGACCGGGCTGGGCCGGGCTGGACACCGTCGGGGCGGGCGCAGCGGGTCGACCCGGCGCACCTGCCGCGGGGGCGGCTCCGGGCTGAGACGAGGGAGGATGCGAACCACGGGGCGCGGTGGAAGCGAGGGCGGAGGACCCAGCCCAGGGCGGCCTCGCGGAGCAACACGGCGGGGCCCCTGGGAAGCGGGTGACCTGGCGGAGACCCCGGAGCACACGGGTCGGGCCCCGCGTCCCCGCACCGCCCCGGGCGGCCCGCACACAGCGACCAGCGCGGGCAGCGCTCGCGTGAAAGGACCCGTCTGCCCCCACGAGAGGACGGCCGGTGCTTACCCAGGTTCCCCTTGAAAACTGGGTCGTTACTTCACCCTTGTCACTTCAGATTTTCTACAGACAAACACAGTGGACGGGTAGTGCCTGGTCCTTTTCTCTAGATAGAAATTTTTTTTTAAAGAAATGGAATCACTCCTTGAGTTTATAGGACAAATGCTGTGTTAGTCAAACCAGGATGACTGTGTGGAGACTGGCTGCGGGCCAGGCACTGTGTCTCAGCTCTGTGTTTCCCCCGAAAGCCACGTGGTTCCTGTTGCCCGTTTCAGGGACCTCTCAGTCCCTGCCGTCCAGCTGGGCTCCGTGTCCAGTTTTCTGTGTGGTTGGGGTGGGCAGGGCCCAGGGGGTGATTTTTGTTCTGCGGAAATTTGGGCTGAGCAGTTTATATCCAAATAACCTTCCTCTCCTATTCATTGGTGAACAGCCTCTTTGTTTAGCTGAGATTTAAATTCTTAGCAATTTTTTTTGTGTCACTTACTATGTTTATCTCAACATTTTTTTTCAGATGCTTGAACTGAGTGACATGGGCCGATATCTGTGCATGTGGGTTTTCCTCAACAGCTTGCCCGACAGAGGCATCTTCCTGGTTGCTCTCCAGGGCGCCCCAAAGTCCGTGCTGGTTGTTAAGGGCGTTGTGGAAACCGGCATTCTAGCATAAGGCAGTGTGTCACCTGGGAAAGGTGATACGTTTATTAGCTAGCAAATTTACGAGTGTTGATGGGTTTACAGGACAAACCAGAAAGCACCGAGAGCTTTAAGGGAGCGGGTCATCGGGCCAAGGAGCTAGGACAACTTTGAAGTGGGCAAACAGGGCAGCTGAAGGGCAGGAGAGAAGGCACGGACAAGAAGAGGTCGAATTAAAGTGACGGTCGTGCGGCGGATGGTAGGGCCGGTCCTGTCGGCAGCTGGCAAACGTAAACCCTGTAATTTTGAGGGGGTGGGAGATGGATTTTACTGAAAGGGATCTCAGGTGTTATTTAGTCAAGGGATTCATTCCCAAATCTGAAAGTCTATCAAAACCACGTATGAAGCTTTTTGTTGTTGTTAAAACAAACAAACAAACAAATAAACAAATACAAACAAAACTAGCCCTGGCTGGGGTGGCTCAGTGACGAATTGAGTGCTGGATTGTGAACCAAAGTGTTGCCGGTTCAATTCCCAGTCAGGGCACATGCCTGGGTTGTGGGCCTACTGGGGTAGGGGGTGCCCGAGAGGCAACCACACATTGATGTTTCTCTCACTCTCTTTTTCCCCCCCTTCCCCTCTCTAAAAATAAATAAATAAAATCTTTTAAAAATACAAATTCCTAGGACCCTGGGGATTCTGCTTCGTTAAGTCTGAAGTGGGGCCCAGGGATGTTTATTTTAGAATTGAACACAACCAGGGAATTTCTGAGTGAGAGGAATGGGAGAGCGTACTCACAGGAAAGAGACGGGTTCTCACTTCTCACTTTCCACTCTTTTCTATTATTTTATCTTTTCCATTCATGTGCACCACTTTTAAGATAAAAATGAACACTGAGAGCCCCCAGCCGACGTTGGTCGGCGGCCAGGTTTGAAACAAAAGGACCGCTGTCAGAGGAGTGGTGTGAAGTCCTGCCGAGGTGTGAAGTTTGGCTGAGGAAGTGGCCCGACACCATGCCCACGCACCGTTGTGCGCGGCCACAACCCCTCCCGGAGGATGGAGACGAGGACGGGTGGGGAGAGAGGCCTGCGCGTCCCCTTCAGGAGCCGCTCTCTCGGCACTAAGTCGGAATGCAGACCGCAGGGAGTTCGGGGGGAGGAGACGGAAGAGCAAAGCCCATCAGAGGCGTCGCAGGGAGCGAACTGGGACAGGTCTGACCTCCTGGTGGACCACCTTCAGCTGTGAGGTCTGCCCCTGCAGCACCTGTCTGGCCCGAGGAGAGGGGGATTGTTAGGGTGCACGTGACAGCTTAGAAAGTTAGGCTGCGCTGCAGGGCACTAAAGAAAGACACTAAAAGGAGAACAAAGTAAAAAGACCCAGGAATCCACCCCTGGCAATGAAGGCCATTTCTGTGTGTAACTGACTAGTGTGTAATACCCCACGGCTCCGGGAATGTCCCAAAGAGCCACCAGCAACAGTGGGGGGAAGGCGGCTCGGCCCATCCACACAGTGGGACACTCCACAGCAGTGAAAACTGCATGCTACAGACATGCATGAACACGCGGTGGTCTCACAAACATAACATGGACTTGAAGAACCCACACACAAAAAGTGCCTGTTGTGTGACTCCATTCCCCACATCAGGCGGGGCCTCTCTGAGAACACAGGGGGCAGCGGGTGGCCCATCGGGCGACTGCACTGTGGCTACAAGATGTATCTCCAGGTAACCATCCTTCGAGCTGCCCACTTGAGGTTTGTGTGCTCTGTGTACACTGTATCTTAACTTAAAAAAATTGGAGCAGAATTGTAAGATAGTTACTTTAAAGGTGGTGGAAAGTTAAGATAAGTACATGTATGCTTTTGATTCATTTAGATTACCATCTTCTTTGGGATGCTGACCTACTAGTCCGAGTAGGAATTCTTTGCTTTGCTAAAATGTAGGCAGACTTTGACCTGGATGAATTTGAACTTTACCCAGAGCTTCCTAAGCCCAGAGGTTGGTGAGGCTGGTGGGCGTCGTTATTAAATCTTCAGTCTCGTCACTGCCCAGGCAGGACTTCCTGCCAGGACTGTGCCTGCACCACAGCCTTTCATTGGCTCACCTTGACTGTGTGACAGATGTGTTGCTGAAAAATCCTGTTTGACAGGATTTTACCCTAAAAACACCTGGGTATAAAGCAGTGCTCTCCTGTGTAAGATGCACAGAATGACTATTCGACTTACATACATCATGAAGTGATTGCCACAGTAAGTTCAGTCCATTATCTACAGATAAACAAAGTAAAAGAAAAGCTATCTTTTTCCCTTGAAATGAGAGCCCTTGGGAGCTCCTCCCTGGACTTTCCTGCGTGTCACACAGCAGCGGTAACTTTGGTGGGAAGTGAAAACAGATCTAGGTCACTTTTTCTTCCTCGTTTCTGACCTCCGACTTGCATTGCTCATAGATTTCCCAGCACAATAAATATTCGAGGTCAATAAACAATAAGGGACCCGTTCTTTCAAATAGTTTTTAAAACAGTAAAACTGGACCTCACTTCAGTGTTAAAAGAGAATGACAGAAGAGGGTTCTTCACGCTCAAGAACGTGTTTTTAAGGGGCTCCAGGTTGATGCTGGTCCCCACCTAAAATCCCTGCTGAACGGGGTTTCACGGTGAAGCTCGCGCCGACCTCCCGGCAGAGTCTGGACGCAGTGGCCCCCGCGGGTGAGGAGGGGGCGCAGCCGCTGCTGTTGCTCTGTCACACACGTTCTAAGCAGTGGTCTTCATGGAGCAGCACATTCAGGAGCGGGTGCGCGGAGGACACGCACAGACTGCGAGAGTTGAAAGGGGAGGAGAGAACGATGTTCTCTAGAAAAGTGTTTCAAGATGTCAATAAGACAGGTTTTTTCATATTAATATTTACAAAGGGCTTTCCTTCCAAGAAAGAGGAAAAGCTAAAACACCTTTGTTTGGTTTTATTTGTGTTAGAATATCTTAATAATTTTTTTCTTATAAACCTTTAAATAAATTGTATTTGGCAGGAAAAAAAAACGTGCCCTTTAACGAAGTGAGCTGACTTCTCAGGCTGACGTCACACCCAAAGGCTCCACACCTTGAACTTGAACGCGCAGATGGGCGTGATCAGTCCCCACCAGCAGAGGGCGCGCCAAGTCCACGCCGTAGACCATGGTTGCGGTTTGCACAACGGGTAGGAGCAGAGCTCTTGAAGGGAAGCAGTTGCTACCCCCAAATGTGCCTGTTGGAATATCGATTTTAATCTGGTTATTAAGGAACAAAAGCCTCAGGAGAAAGCCTTTGAACTCCCCCTAAGTGCCTGAAAGGAACGGAAACAGAGGCTCTGCTCCAGGAAGGGAGGAAGGGGGCTCGGAGTCCCGCTGAACCTGAGCGGGTGGGCGGCGGGCAAGGCGGCCTGTGGGTCCGTGTCCGCGACGGCAGCAGACACTCGCTCACCCAGCAGCGGCCTTCCCGTCCCCCCCGCCGAGCGGCCTCTGTGCCCTTCGACGTCCGAAACCACACAGGGCGGAGGGAGCTCCGCTGCCCTTCTTCGGGGCCCGCGCTTTCCGTACCTCCGACCTCGAGTTCCTAAAGTGAACTTTGGGCGTTCGCTCCTGTTAATCTGCCTCTGTAATGCTATTGTTCACCCAGCTAGAAGAACTTAGAAGATGGGAGGAAAAGTGATGTTCCAGTCCTCACACTCTCGAGTATCGTCACCACCACGTCCAGGACCCAGCCAAATGATCGGCGGGCGGGGAGGCGGACCAGCGCACGGAGAGCTGAGCGCACGGAGGCTCGGTCCAATGCTCTGGTGAACCTCTGCCTCTGGTCAACGTCTGCTACAAACTTCGCCGAAGATCACGGGCAGGCTGTGCCACTGAGTTCCACTCATGTACAAATGCCACTGCGTCGAAATGGACATAACAAAAAGGATATGTGATGTACTTAATATTTAAATTTAAATACTAAAATTAACCCTTTAAAATATAAAATATATATTTATTTATTTATTTTTAGAGAGGGGGAGGGAGGGAGAAAGAGAGGGAGCGAAACGTGGGTGTGAGACAGACACCCATCAGTTGCCTCCTGCAGGCCCCGGAGTGGACGGAGCCTGCAACCCAGGACTTCGTGCAGACCGGGAATCGAACTGGCAACCTTTTGATCTGTGGGTCTACACCCAACCCACTGAGCCAAACCTGTCAGGGCCTAAAATTAACCTTTTGCTTTACATTCGCTAAGCCACTTTGGAAAGAGTTAGACATTAAATGTAAATACCCGAGCATTAAATGTGTCGTGATGAATCTAAAAGGAGGTCTGAGCTCTCACTGCCCAGACCACAGCCTCCAGTGCGCAGGAGACTCTGACTCCGGGTGGACCCACCCGCCAAGCCCGCAGCGTCCTGGCCAAGCGCGCTTCTGTCGAGCTGGTCTCGCTGTCCAGCTTCCCCCGTCACTGTGACCTTCAGAGTGTCTGTGTTTCCCCTGAGCTTCAGGAGCTCGCAGGGGCCTAGCCACGACCCTTGGCGCCTGAGGTCACTGTCACTGCTTTCTGCACGGGTGCTCCTTCCGTTCCACCAACTCCGTCGCTGTCCGTGACTTTCACAATCTCCCACATTCCTGCCTCACGCGTCCAGGTGTTTACCATTTCTGTGTTTTTTTAAATAGCATTTAAATCAATATATATACACATAAGAACATAATAATTAGATTTAGTTCTCGGATTTTATAAGAGTGATTTTTAATTTGCTGTTTTAAAACCTGAACATTAAGATTGACTCACACTGATGTGGATACCTGCAGTTCATTCTCTCGGAATATCCCTTATGAGTATGTACTACACTCTCCTAGCCTGGGCTGGAGTCCGGTTTTCTGCTGTTGTTTGTAATTCTGTTCCAACTGAAGCGTTGTCATGACGACGTGTGCGCTAGCGCCCCCTGGCGCATGTGTGCATTTCTCTGGCTGGGCTGTAGGGCATCAGAATTTCACTCTCCCAGCATAATTGTATTGGGATGGCCAAAAGTCCATTTGGTTTCTTTCTGTACAATGGCTCTAGTAGCCCTGAGTTGTCATTAACTTCACTGGAAACAATTTTGATAGACTGCATTGTCACAGCTGTCATATCAGCAAGCATTAAAAAAAACTTATCAAAATTGGTAAATTTTTGTGTAGCCATTTTAATATTGAAGATGGAAGAAAATATGCAAACTTTTTGGCATGTTATGCTTTATTATTTCAAGAAAGGTGAAAAATGCAAAGAAAAAAATGTTGGTGCAGTGTGTGGAGAAGGTGTTGTGGCTGAAATTTCAAAAGTGGTGTGTGAAGTTTCCTGGTACTCTTGACATTTTGGCCAAATAGTTCTTTGCTGTGGGGCTGTCTTATGTGTTGGAAGATGCATTGGGGCACCCCGGCCTCTCCCCACTAGAAGCCAATAGCGGGAGAGAGCCGACATACTCAAAATATCTAAGTCAATAAAGTTATTGATGAAAATGAAACATGTGACTTATTTTATGGAAAAAACATAATGGACTTTTTGGCCAACCCAATACTAATTCTTTGTTGGTTATTGCATGCAGATATCTCTATCCATTTATAACCTTTTACTTTAAGGTGTCTTTGGATGTATCAAATTTCTTAACTTTCATTTAGACAACTTTGTAAATCTTTTGTTGTAGAGGTCATGCTTTTGTGTGTTGAGAGATCTTTCCCTCTATTGAAGAGACCACTGTTTCCCCATAGTATGTTGTTGGACATACACGTAAGGGACAGTCTTTTCACTAGCTGGTGTTGTGACGACGGGACAGCCACGTGAAAGAGAAGGAAACTGGACCACTTTCTTCCTGCCACACACAAAAATAGACTCAAAATAGATTAGAGACTTGAATAAAATACCTGACACCATAAAGCTAATAGCAGAAGACACAAGGGGTGAGCTGTTGGTCTTGATGCTGGTCCTAGCAATGAGGTTGTGGATTTGGCAACAAAAACAAAGTAAACAAGTGGGACTACATTAAATTAGAAAGCTTCTGCTCAGATATGGAAATACCCAAGAGAATGAAATGGCAACCTACAGAATGGGAGATCATATTTTCAAATTGTACATCTGATAAAGACTCAGTATCCAAAATATATGAAGAACTCATACAATTTAATATCAAAAAGAAAAACAAACCGACTTAAAAATAGGCAGAGAACTTAGTAGACATCTTCCAAGAGGACATGCAGATGGCCGAGAGGTAAGTGAAAAGATGCTCAGCATCACTAGTCATCAGGGAAATGCAAATCAAAACCACAAAATATCACCTCATAACCGTCAGAGTGGCTGTCATCAAAAAGGCAGGAAACAACAAGTGCTGGTGAAGATGTGGAGAGAAGGGAAACCTGTGCCCTGTGGGGTTTCCTCCAAAAATTAAAAGTAGACCTGCCTTATTACCCAGTAATCCAGGAAGCGAAATCATAACCTCAAAGAGATTCCTACATTCCCGTGTTCACTGCAGCATGAACAGTCAAGGGATGCAGCCCGCCTAAGTGGTCAATACATGAAGAAACTGGGGTCCACATATCCAAGGGAACATTGTTCAGCATTAAAAAAGAAGGAAGTCCTGCCCTTGGAGACAGACCCGGAGGGCTGTAGGCTCAGTGAAGTAAGTCAGACAGAGACAAATACACAGGGCACGTTCCCACTTTCAGGGGGGTCTGGAGAAGACTGGCGGCTGCCAGGGGCGGAGCGAAGGTGGTCAAACTCCCTGCTACACGGTTAGCTGGTCCTGGAGTGTAACACACAGCGCGGAGACTGTACCTACCAGTGCCGCATTGCACGTTTGAAAGTCCCTAAGAGAGCAGATCTTAAAGGTTCTCATCGTAACAAGTTGATAACGATACGTGGTGACGTGAACTTGCTGTATTAGCCATTTCACAATACATACAAAAATCAAGTCATCATGTTGTACACTAAAAACTAATGCAATGTTACATGTCAATTAATCTCAATCTAAAACATCTTTCCCTGCTCTATGCTCAGAAGGTTGGTTTCCAACATTCTCTGCTTTCCCTCCGAGAACAGGCCTGAGCTTGCCCCTGGCTGTCCTTGACCTTAAGTCCTTGCTCCACCTGGAGAGGGGTCTGCAGGTGGTGTGCATGTTGAGGGTTGAACAGGGTCCCCTCGAAGTCCTGCAGCCCCAACTACTAGCACCCCAGGATGGGGCTGTATTTGGACACAGGGCATTTAAGGAGGAAACCAGGGTTAAATGAGGCCATGTGGGTGGGTCCTTATAACAGGAAAAGTTGGAGCACTTGGAGGAGAGGCCATGAGGCCACAGGCCAGAAGGAGGCCTTCTGCCGGCCGAGGGGGGAGGTCTCGGGAGAAGCCAAGCCTGCCGGCCCCTCTGTCCTGGACTTGAACTGCAGAACTGTGAGAAAGTATGTTTCTGTTGTTGAAGGCACCTGGTCTGTGGCATTTTGTAATGGCGGCCTAGAAAAGTAATACATGGATTTCACTTTTTTAATCCTCACCTGAGGACATGTTTTTGTCAATTTGAGAGAGAGAGAGAGAGAGAGAGAGAGAGACACCCATTGGTGATCTCACATACGCGCCCTGACCAGGAACTGAGCCTGCGACTAGGTATGTGCCCTGACTGCAAACAGAACCCATAACCTTTTGGTTTACAGAATGACACTTTAAGCAGCTGAGCCACCCAGCCAGGGCATGCATTTCACTTTTTAAAACCATTTGTTTCCAGTCCACTTAGTAAATAGTCAGCCCCTCCTCTCCTCTCTGACCCATGGTGCCTCTGTCACTCGGTGTTCCGCACACGTGGTCCTACTGGGAGGCTCCCCATTCCAGCTCGTGGGTCAGTCTGTCCTGGCGAGAGGGTCAAACTCTCTTAGCAGCTACAGAGTGACTCCCCTGTAATTACACTTCCACTTTCATGTAAAGTTTACAAATTAGCTTGTCAAGTTTCGCTAAAAAAACCTATTGGGATATTAATTGCATTTGCATTAAATCTATAAAACTAAAGAGAAATATTTTGTAATCAAAGATTTATCTCCATTGGAAGGACCATTTCCTTCCTTCGTCGATGGACGACCATTTTGGTTCTGTCCACACGATGGCAGCACCAACCAAAAAATCAAACTTTCACAGTTGCACGAAAGAGCCCATACAACATACACAGCATTAACATTTTATTAAATGCCCAAATGCTTTGGCGGATGGACCTTAATTTCATATAAAGTGTTGAATAGCCCATCAAATTCTTAAGTGCAGTCGGTAGGAATATATACAATAGTATGTGATCATCAGAGAATTGAATAACGAAAAATATGATACCAATCTGTTCTTCAGTCCTTTTACCTTAGAGGACCATAACCAATTATGGATAAAAAAATCATTACCAACCAATAAAACAAAGTCATGGTGTAAAACTAGATTTGGGAATGAAGGTAGCCAGGCCAGCGAGCGCAGTACAGGGTGGGGAGCAAAGGTCTCCGGGGCGAAGCGCGCAGGTCAGGGCCCTGTGACCTCAGTTTTCCTCGAGCTCTGCCCGCCCCGCCCAGAACCGAGCCTGGGCCGGCCCCTTCCCTCGGGCCCTTCCCTCGGCCCGGCCCTGGAGCCCCCCTTTCCGCACGGCTCGGAGCCCTGGGACACACTGTCTTTGACTGCATGTGGACCTGACCTTGACGACAGTGGGCTGCAGTCGCCCCTTTTCCAAGTCCCTCCGGGTCATTAGTCCGGCACTGACAGTACCGCCCAGCTGGCCACGTGCTTGGCGTCCAGGAAGGGCCCGGGTGCTGCCGAGAGGCCTCATCTGGGCGGTCTGAAACACACGACGGGCCGAGCTCCTTAAAGGGTCAGCCCAGCGGCCCGTCTGTCCAGTGCGAGCACTGACGCCCCGCCCCGAGGGCTGCGGGGTTCACCCAGAGTCTCTGACTGCACGTGGCGCCTCCGGGGATGTCATACGTCGCTGGAGCACGGGTGGTGTCCCCGCACCAGCGTCGTGCACGCCCCCTTCGGAGGAACCAGCAACGGTGACCCCCACCGCGAACCCGCACTGAGCCGGGCCCCGCACCACTCTGCCGCGGGCCGCCCCAGGTCCCACCGCTCCCCTCCCCTGCGCTGCCTAGACGCTCCGCGAGGGGGCGCCCGGGCCCCACGCTCCGGCTCCAGGGCTACGGGTGGAGGCCCAGCGGGGCTGTGCTAGGCGTTCGAGGCCCGTCCCCCTGGTTACGCGCGGTCAGGCTGCAGGACGGGGCCCGCGGGGGCGGTCGGGCCTCGGGGCTGTGCTTCAGACCCCAGTTTGCGGCCTTTCGGAGGACGGGACAGCCCTCTCGGGGTACCGGAACCTCTCTTACCCCGTCGCGGCCCGGCAGTCCCGGCTCTGCCCCGCCGGCGCGGGCGGTGGGCGGGGCGCCGTCGTGACGTGCGGCGCTAAGTCCCGCCCCCCCAAGGCCGTATATAAGGCGCTGCGCTCGCACTTATTCCAGTGGACGCGGCGGCTGGCGAACCGGCAGCGGGAGGCGATACCATGGAGCTCCTGCGCACCATCACCTACCAGCCGGCCGCCGGCGCCAAGGCGAGCGAGCCGCCGGGCAAGGCTGGCGGCGGGGACGCGAAGCGCAGGCGGCCGCCGCCCCCCGAGGAGCCGCCGCCCCGGGCGCAGGAGTCGCCGGCGGCCCCGCAGCACCGCCACCACGCGGGCGCCGAAGTGTCGCGGGTCGTTGTGGACCCCACGACGGGGAGGCGCTACTGCCGGGGCCGGGTGCTGGGCAAGGTGAGGGCGCCGCCCCGCGCGCGTCGAGTCCGGGGTGCCGATCCCCGCGGCGGCTCAGCCCTCCTTCCCCGCCCGGGCCGGTCTGGTCAGATCCCACGTCTCACCTCCCGACCCGGCGCCGTCCTGGTCCTCCGAGTAAAGGGACCCGGGCCTGTTCGGACGGCACCCCGCGGCGCTTTCCCGTCTGGAAGGGGCTTTTGGAATCGGACTGCCTCCCCCGCCCCTTTCTTCCCTCCTGCTCCGATCTTTCTGCTTTCCTTTCTTATTAAAAAAAAAAAAAATTAAAGCATATTTGCTGTCCATGGCTCTGCCTACTCAGTTCCGTCTCGGCTTTGTTTCCTTGTAGGGCGGCTTTGCCAAATGTTACGAGATGACGGATCTGACAAACAACAAAGTCTACGCTGCAAAGATCATCCCTCACAGCAGGGTGGCCAAGCCGCACCAGCGGGAGAAGGTGAGTGTGGCGCTGGGCGCGGCGCTGCCCGGGGCCGGGCTCCCTGGTGCGCACGCAGCTCGGCTCGGCTGGCGGCTGCCCTGCTGCTCGCTGCTGCCTGGGTGCTGAGCCCTGTTCGCCTTCCCTCCCAGATCGACAAGGAGATAGAGCTGCACAGACTTCTGCACCACAAGCACGTCGTTCAGTTCTACCACTACTTCGAGGACAAAGAGAACATCTACATTCTGCTGGAATACTGCAGCCGAAGGGTAGGCGTGCGCCTGGGCCCGCATGCAGCCGGGCTGCCCTTCCTCGGGGCTGCCGTGTGGGTTGGGGCGGATCGGGCCCCGCCGTGACTTTCTGTTCTGACAGCTGTGGCTGACACCTTCTCTCCTCTTCCTCCTCGCAGTCCATGGCTCACATCTTGAAAGCCAGGAAGGTGTTGACAGAGCCCGAAGTCCGATACTACCTCAGGCAGATTGTGTCTGGACTCAAGTACCTCCACGAGCGAGAAATCTTGCACAGAGATCTCAAGCTAGGTGAGCCCTGGACTCCAGACGTGAATTTGTGTGTCGGGGACGGGTGTTCGTTCCTTCTCCCTCGCACTGTTTACACTTTCCTGTTCTCCATTGCGGGGGGGGGGGGGGGGCGGGGTGCAGCCTGTGCAGTCGTGCCTTCGAGTGGGGGCAGTTCTGGTCAACAGCTGGCTGCTGGCCTCCAGGGCTGACCTGGTGTGCACTGGCCAAGAGTGGCTCTCCCAGGGATTCAAGTCTGTTTTGTTTATTGTCCAGGGAACTTTTTTATTAACGAAGCCATGGAACTGAAAGTTGGGGACTTCGGTTTGGCAGCCAGGCTGGAGCCCTTGGAGCACAGGAGGAGGTGAGGCTGGGAGGGTGTCCCCTCTGTGCAGCTCACACACGCCCTTCTGGTTGCCAGCTGGTGTCTCAGAGGAGGCCCACAGAGACTCAGCCTGTGCACTGCAGCAGGGTTGACTCGAGGAAGCACCGGGTGCTCACCGCGGGCCGGGCCAGGGCCCCTCATGCCTCCAAGTGGATTATGAAAGAAATCTGCCTTACGATGGCCTGATGAGGATGAAATGCCTGGTCTCTGTTGACCAAAAACACTGTCACGTGGGCTGAGAAAAATACATGCATCAAAAAAAATCACCAGAATCACTTTGTCAAATGTCAGTTGCTCAAATGCCAAAAGCAAAAGTCAGATGCTTCCTAATGGAAACTCAACACAAAGCTTTCACGGTTTTGTCCAGGGAACTGGGTTTCACTTAGTTCCTAATGAGGTTTCATCTCTTGTCTTTGCAGAACAATATGTGGTACCCCAAATTATCTCTCCCCTGAAGTCCTCAACAAGCAAGGACATGGCTGTGAATCAGACATTTGGGCTTTAGGCTGTGTGATGTAAGTGGATGCACCCAAATGATGAAAACGAAAATTGGGATTTAGATTTTAACATTTGAAAAGAGCTGCTTTACGGCCATTCCTAAAGAAGTGTTTTCTTCCTCTTAGGTATACGATGTTACTAGGAAGACCCCCGTTCGAAACTACAAATCTGAAGGAAACGTACAGGTGTATCAGAGAAGCAAGGTATACCATGCCGTCGTCACTGCTGGCACCTGCCAAACACTTGATAGCTAGCATGCTGTCCAAAAACCCACAGGACCGTCCAAGCTTGGATGACATCATGCGGCATGAATTCTTTCTGCAGGTGGGTGTGCGTCTTGAGTCTCTGGATCTCACGCTCTTGATCCCAGTGGCCCAGCAGGTCACAGGGTGCCTTTTCTCTGCTCCGCAGGGTTTCACGCCAGACAGGCTCTCCTCCAGCTGCTGCCACACGGTCCCGGACTTCCACTTGTCCAGCCCAGCGAAGAATTTCTTTAAGAAAGCGGCTGCTGCTCTTTTTGGTGGCAAAAAAGACAAAGCAAGATATATTGACACACACAGTAAGTTTCTAGTCCTGCCGCTGTTCTGTGTCCAACATTGTATCTCACTTTGGTAAATTATTGTTAGAAGAGACTTTTTTGCATGAGCATAATTTAGCCAGTATCTTTGCATACTGTTGAGCTTTTTGTAGCATAATGAGTTCACACCGTGACATGTGTGTCATACACGTTAAAGTGTGCTCTTGCGTGATTGCAGCTAATGGCAATGATAAAAGTGCTGTTTCTGCCTTGGATGCTCATAGCTAGTTAGTACTGCAGTAGGAGGAAACGTGGATGGCTCTGTTCCTACCTTGTTAGGGTAGAATAACACTCAATTCTTTTCCTTGACTTACAGATAGAGTATCCAAAGAAGACGAAGACATATACAAGCTTAGGCACGACTTGAAAAAGACTTCCATCACGCAGCAACCCAGCAAACACAGGCCAGACGAGGTATGCTGGGGAAGGACAGACAGACATCACCTCCTTATGTCGTTTTCATTCTGTGCTGTCACTTACTCTGTGATCGTCAGGGCTCAGGCCTGTCGCGTGTACCTCACCTCCTTCCCCCAGCCCGTGGAGAGGGAGGGTGGAGCAGTGCAGGCAGCGGGCCGGCTGTGACAGCTTGGGCCCGGCTGGTGGCCACTGGTCTGGATGAGCCTTGCCGGCAGTTTCCGCAGTCCTACCCCACCACTCCTCGAGCGGCATGAGGGTGGGACTCGTGGCTCATTGCCCGGCCCTCCTCTTTCCTAGGAGCTGCAGCCCTCGCCCACGACGGTGGCCGCTCCTGGCACCGGCACCGCCGCAGTGGAGAGCAGGCAGCAGGTGGGGGACGCCATTCGGATGATCGTCAGAGGGACACTGGGCAGCTGCAGCAGCAGCAGCGAGTGTAAGTGCTGGTCCGCCCGCGTGCAGGGGTGGAACCGCCGGTGCCGGTGCTCCTCGCGGAGTCACTGAAGTGCCTGTGTGTGCACGTGACGCGTTTTGCACAGAGCAACAGAATTCAAGCGCTGGGATGAGACTAGGAAGAGTTTGGAGTTCATGTGTTGGAGTTCTAAGTGGAAGGAGACTTACCAAAGCCCATGTTTTTTTTGTTAATTATTTCGTAACTTTCTCTGATATTCAGGCCTCGAGGACAGTACCATGGGAAGCGTTGCGGACACAGTGGCAAGAGTCCTTCGAGGGTGTCTGGAGAACATGCCGGAAGCCGACTGCATTCCCAAAGAGCAGCTGAGCACTTCCTTTCAGTGGGTCACCAAGTGGGTCGATTACTCCAACAAATACGGCTTCGGGTACCAGCTCTCGGACCACACTGTGGGCGTCCTTTTCAACAACGGTGCTCACATGAGCCTCCTTCCCGACAAAAAGTGAGTGTCTCTAGGTCACGGGGTGGGCGGGTTCTTCAGTTGCGCATGGGAGGCCCCCGGAAGCAGAGACTGACGGCTGCCGTCCCCCTCCCCCCGTCACGCCCGTGTCCAGAACCGTGCACTACTACGCGGAGCTCGGCCAGTGCTCCGTGTTCCCAGCGACAGAGGCCCCTGAGCAGTTCGTCAGCCAGGTGACGGTGCTGAAGTACTTCTCCCACTACATGGAGGAGAACCTCATGGACGTAAGTGCTGTGGCCTCGGAGCGGTGGTCCTGGGGTGCAGGCTCAGACGGGGAGCACCCTGGAGCACCTGCTCCAGGGCCCACCCCTCTGCTGAGTCCACCTTCCGGGGGGCGGGGCCAGCGGCCTCCACCCGGGCTGCCGCTGGCCCCAGCGGGAGAGGCCTTGGCCCGGGGAGGGTGAGCACGCTGCACAGCTCCGCAGGCCCTGACCCTCCCCGTCCGCTGCAGGGAGGAGACCTGCCCAGTGTCACCGACGTGCGAAGACCGCGGCTCTACCTCCTGCAGTGGCTGAAGTCCGACAAGGCCTTAATGATGCTCTTCAACGACGGCACCTTTCAGGTGACTGTGGCCCTCCGGGACAGGCCTGTGGGGGGCCTGAGAGTTACTTTCACCGGGTCAGCTTAGTCGCGGACTCCGCCTCCCCAGCCCTGGCACCCAGAGCGATCTAACATCCTTGTCTGGTTTTAAAGGTGAATTTCTACCACGACCACACGAAAATAATCATCTGCAGCCAGGACGAAGAGTACCTGCTCACGTACATCAACGAGGACAGGCTGTCCGCCACGTTCCGGCTGACGGCCCTGCTGATGGCCGGCTGCTCGCTGGAGCTGCGGCACCGCATGGAGTACGCCCTGAACATGCTCCTGCAGAGGTGCAACTGAGCCTCGGCCCTGTGGGACCCCTCCAGGCGCGGGCCGCAGGGACGGCGGGCTGCGGCACGTGGGAGACGGCGGCGGCGGCGGTACGAAGACAGGCCCTCCGGCCCGCTGGACCGGCCGAGGCGTGCTGGCCGTCCTGGCGCGGACAGTCCGAGAGAACCAGAGCGCCGTTTTCCTTGGGGGACCTGTCTTGAAAGGGTTTTCAGACAACCTCACAGAAAGGTGCATTGACTCTTCACTTGTCTCTGCTGAGAGCATTTCAGACGGAGGGGGGCTGGGAACTGTGAACGGACTTCCCGGGGAGAGGAGAGGAGAGGGAGGAGGCTCCCGAGTCGTCAGCGGCTGGAATCGGAGCAGCTTTGGGCTGCCTAACTGTGAACTATGGCCATATGTAGGTGTTTCTTTGTTCGTTTTTGTTTTTTGTTAATTTTTGAAGACACTCGTGGCTGGAAAAGTGCATTCCTTGTTAATAAACTTTTTATTTATTACAGCCCAAAGAGCAGTATTTATTATCGGTGTTTTTAAAGTTGGCCACTTTAAACTGCCGGCAATAAAGCGTACGGAAAAGCGGAAGGCTTCGCTCGTCGGTCCTCTGTCTCCATCTCAGTGGCCGGCCGGGCACAGCCGTCCGACCCTGGGCTCTTGGCGGTCTGGGCTTAGAGTGCAGACGCACACCAGAAAGTTCTATCGTTACTTTTTCTCGTGACAGTTTCTAGGAAGTCAGGGTAGAGCTCGCTTTGGACAAGAGTGTAACGAAAATACACTCTTGTTACAAGCTAAACACGGGCCTCCTGGTAAATCCGAACCAGCTCCTCTCTGGAGGGTTTCCTCCAGACGCTCAGCCTGGGTCCGGGCTCTGTCGCCCTGTGTGAACAGCCTCTGTTGCTAAGCGTCAGTAGGCACAGGAAGTTTATCTTCACGTGGGCAGCGCACCGTGCTGTGTGTCTTTGTGCCGCCCAGTGTGTTGCCCAGCTGGGACCTCCCGCACGCCGCGGTGCCGCTGGCAGGGCCAGCATGCAGTTCCAGTGGGACGGGCCTCACACGTCAGTCGTTTCATCTTTCTTCTGGTGCACAACGGCTGGGAGTGGTGTGGGAAGCCAGGCTCTGGTTTCAAACGACCACAGTGGCCACGGGCGCATCCGAGCTGCGGCTCTTTCAGCGGGATCTGCTCCTTGACAGGCGCCGAAAGCTGCTCCTCCGGCTGCTCCGACCTCCCAGTGACCTGCGTGAGGTGCGCGTCCTCTGGGCTCCGGACGGCTGCTGCGAGGGAGGTCCTGTCCTGAGGACAGCCGGGTCGCCTGCGTCCGGGCCACGGTTGCAGTGGGGTCCGGGGCGGCGCGGTGCGGGGATGGTGGCTGTCATTGTACGTTTCGCTAAGATGACCACCCGCACCCGATACATTTTATTAATAAAAGTCAAACCTGGAGAGTGCAACTGGGTACTCCACAGGTTCTAGACTGCTGTCTGGAACTCTGGCCGTGGACACAGGAGTCTTTGTTAAATGGCTTAGAGTAATAGCTAAAAAAAATATGTAATTACACTAATAGCTGGGTGTGCAAACATAGAATCTGTTCTTGGGGCAGAGGAGAAGAATTAGTTGCGAGCAGTAAAAATGTGCTTTCGTGTTGAGTGGGACAGTTTCAAACCCTGCCCTTGTCCTCGCTCGTGCACGGAGGGGCCGTGTGCGCCAGCCGGGCGGGCGGCACTGGAGGCGTCAAGTCGACCCGGGCCTGTCCCTGCCCCCAAGGAAGTCCCAGCAAGTGCAGAAGACAGTGCATTTACTCACCAGCCTGATAAGTGCCGTGACGTTACGATGCAGGTATGCACTGGGTGTTCTGGGAACCATGCGGAAGGAGCTCCGGGCGTGGGTTGGACCCAGAGAATAGATTCCTGACAAGGAAATTCTTTTTTATAGGGTTTTGAAAGACGAGTGGGGTTAAACCGAAGTATGAGGCGGGCAGGGCGTCACAGGCAGTGGGAATTGCATGCACAGAGAGCCGAGGGTGAGGGAGTTCACGGCGCCGTGGGCGTGCAGGCCTGGCAGATGCAGGCTGGGGAATCGGGCAGGCCTTCCAGGGGCCCTCCCAAGGCCTGTGGGCTGCACCGAAGGGTACACGGCCTCGTGGAAAGGTTTTAAGGAAGAAATACCAGCCAACCGGTATTTCATTTCTACACAATAGAGCTCATTCTGGGGGCAGGAGGAGCAGGGAAGAAGGGGAGAGGGGTGACCCAGGAAGTGAGGACATCAGTGCCCTGCTGCGGGTGGGGCAGGACCAGGTGAGCAGGGGGATGTGAAGGTGGGATCCCCGGCGTCCCCTCCAGCCCATCGGTTTGCATCAGCGTCCCCAGAGCTGAAGACCCGGCCTGGCCCACGGCAGCCAAATCCTGCCCCAATGGGCAAATGACCGCAGTCGAGGGAGGGGCTCAAACAGTTGTTTGTAACAGGATTTGGCATCAGGTTGGCTGTGAAGCCTGAGGAAGGAAGAGGGTGGGGCTTAGGAAGATTGGCAGGAGCAGCCCCCAGGGAAATTCCGCAGCAGCGAGAGCCCGACACTCAGGAACAGACGCTGAGCTCGGGGCATGTTGAGGCAGCCTGCGTGAGGGTGCCCGGACAGGTCCCCAGGACAGCTGAACGCGCATGTCCGTGTCTGGGAGGGCGGCACGCGGGAGTCCCCGGGTTTGGGGGACATCTTCAGAGTGGGTGAGGGCGTGGGGCAGGGGTCCCCGTCACCCCTCCTGCCCCCTGGCATTCTCCGGTTCCCAGAACGGCCGCAGAAAACACAACAGTGTTGAAAAACCTCTGAAGTGGGGTAAGGAGGATGAAAAATTCCCGATTACATCCTACTCTTCCAAACCACGGGAACCCGAAGTTCATAAAAACAAGGCCAAAATAACAGAGGTGCGTAATGAGCACCTTCGGGCCTTGAGAATGCCCCGAGCCATCTCCGGTCCTGGCAGCCGGTCGGCGGGGGCGAAAGCTGGTGTTGAAGTGTTCCCGTTTGGATGTGTGGGAGCAGCTGGCCTTGGCTGGGATGACAGGGAAGGGGAACCCCACCCGGAGGGCGAGGCGAACCTTTGGAGCCCAGGTTGGAGGTGGGCAAACAGACTCTCGGTCGGAGTATGTTGTCGAATAATTGTCACCACTTAATTACTGGGAGCTTTCAGGTAGAAACGAACACTTCCAGCTTCTTGTGAAAAACTTCAAGATCAGGCAAGATGGGATTGGCAGCTCTGCTCGTGGCCACTCAGCCGGAGTCGAGGGGCAGCTGCCCCGAGGTGTGGTGGGCCCTCCCTCCCCACAGTCTTCACCTGCCCGCCTCGCTCACCTGGCTCCTGTGGCCTTCGAGGGGAACCTCTCCCACAGAGTCAGGCGAGGCTTTTAGGAGACCCGTCTACCATCAAATTCTGATGACAAAAACTGGTTTCGTTTCTATGCAGTATTAATAATATGTTTGGGGTGATTTGGGTGTCAAAGGTCAGGTGGAGCTGAGGAGAAAATAAGCGCAAAGACCGGATACCGACAGATGAATCCCCCTGAGCCTTCGGAGGCTGGGGGTGCTGCGCCAGAGTGTGGGTGACTCTTCAGAATTGCCACCGAATCCGCACGAGGGGGTTAAGTTCAGCTCATCTCATTCTCTTCATTCGTGATGAAATGTGGGTAAAGGCGAATTTGGAAGTTTTGCAGACCAGGAGCAAGAGCTCATCCCTCATCAGATTGGAACTGCTGGTTCAAACGTAGGTGGGCGAGCAGTCGCCGTAACCCACCCTCACTCCTGCCTTTGGCCTCATCGATAGACTCAGCGGACCGATTCCGAGGTATCTGAGCTGTGCGGGCTGGTGCGGCCGACTTTTCATTCCTTTTGCCACATTGATAGAGAGAAACAATGATTGGAGGCGAGATTTTACAGCAGCCGGCTGCACCTGCCTCACGTGGACTTGACCTCGGGCACGCATCGTGGCCACCCTCCAGGTTTCCGTTCACTGCTCGGCTTTGCGACAGGGAGATTAGGGACTGAACTCGGAAGAATGCGCTCCACGTGGATTAGTCACGGGGCCGGGCACGTGACTGAACTGGCCCGAGACAGGCACCGGGCTTTTTGGTCGTGTGCAAATAACACTCCTGGAGTCGAAGCAGTCAAGTCTGCCCCTGAATGCAGCTTTTCGACCCAGACTATTAAAAAAGGAAAAAGTAACTTTCAACGTTTGTGCAATCTGACACATTGCACCCAGGTTTTCCACCCCGCCCTCCCCACACAAATATTTGTCTTACGTCGCTGGAGTTAAAACGCTGCACTTGGCAGCCCAGAAATCTCTTTAATGCGGTAATTCAAACACTGAACTAGAAAATGTCATTGCAGATGAACTTTTACAAGTGCATCCAGAAATAGCAATGAAAACGAGATCGTTTGATTTGAATATAAGTGTAAATTAATACATTTTCAAAGTCCTAATGTATGAAAAAATTAGTTTACCCCCCAAAATATGCAAATGCAAAACTTATGGCAAGAAAATCAGTATCCCAAGTAAGAAATATTTGTGGCTAAAACAAAAAGTAACAAATTATGAAAGCATATGATGTAGCAGGAAAAGCATAGAATTTTGATCAGACCTCCAGCTTGATGCCACTGGGCCGGTTGCGTGCTGAGTGATTGTGAACAGACGCGGCTGCCTTCTGGTCTCCCGTTGCTGAGGGACATTGACAATAATAAAAATTGTATTAGACTATTAGGTTGAATGATATTATTTTGCCAATTTGACCATTTTGACCTAGAACAAAAGCCATTACGTATCATTCGAAAGAATAATGAAGAACAACAAGAAGGAGGAATGACCATGCACATTTCTCTCCTATTTTAATATTGTCTTTGTTAATATCGCCTTGTGCCTGTGACGTGTACCTCTTTTTTTATTGGTTTGTTTGTTTTATCCTCACCTGATGACATTTTCTCATTGTTTTTAGAGGGAAAGGAAGGGGGAAGAGAAAGAGAGAGAGAGAAACATCGATTGGTTGCCTTCTTTTGTGCTTGCCAGCTGGGGATTGAACCTGTGACCCTTCGGTCTATGGGATGACACTCTGACCGACCGAGCCACACTGGCCAGGGCTATCTCTTCGTTTTATGTAGACAGCAGTGGTTACTATATCCCATGTCATACTGTATTGCTGTTGTTATTCTGAGCACTTTTCTTGAGTGACTGCTGTCTTTGTCACGATGCTGGGTAACCAGGTCCAGCACTGTCCACAGTGAAAGCGATTTGCTCGCTCATGACGGACGAGTCGAGGGCAGGTCACGCAAACATTTCCCACGTCTCGAGTTTGCCTGTGTGGCTTTTTCTTATTACAGTCCCCTCTTCACTATGTTCAAAAAACAGTTCCCCAACTACTTCCTAAGGAACACAAAATTATTTGACATCATAAAGCACTCCCTGAAAAACATGTTCTCTGGCAAATTACTTAGGGAAATACTGAGTTAAATGAAAGTAAACAGATTT